CAATGACTGATGCAGAGAGTGACTGCCGAGCTAGAAGTATGTTCTTAATCCACTAATACAGGAACAGGTTTCATAAGTCACAACAACGACTTACACCAAATAACCTCCAATATACTGAGAATCAAACCATCGACCTGCCGCATAAATTCTTCCGTTTCCTAGTCTAGAGGTGATTCTCCCGGCGTCCATTGTAACAACGGAGAAGCTTCTGGTGGCCGCCGGATGGATGGCAAAACTTTGACGATAAAATTCTCGCTGGAGTCGAGTGGGTATATATTGGGTGGCACACACGAGTACCTGGACCATTACCTGGATTGGCCTTTATGGTTGGCCCCAAACTTACGAGGGCCGGAGAGGAATAATTGCAGAGTTGAGAGTTATGATATTGAACCAGGAGTATTGTCTGTGTATGTTTGTTCAGGGCCCACACGACCCTCACTACAGATTAACCAATTTAGGCGCAGGTTGTCAACTAACATGTGTAATACAATATAGATCACTCGGGTACAATATAAACCAATATGGAATTAGTCCTTATAAGCCTGAGTGGATAACCTCCCAGAATCATTGAATACAAAAATTATCTGTATGTCTTTAAAATGAGTTTAAATGACTCAACTTATGGATCACCTCAAGATAACCTCCTCATTTTATTTCACATTAAAATTAATCATTCTACCGCAACCCTAACATAACCAAACTGACCTAACCTAACACAACCCAACCTAACCAAACCTAACCCCCTTCCCCCAGGATCCAGGTAGAATTAGGGTGCTTAATCATGAGGTAATATTAGCTAGGAGGTTTTATCTTCAGGTGACCCCAACTTATATCTCTTAAAGTGTTACACTGTGTGGGGGGAACTGCCTCGGCAAACACCTGGTGCATGATATTACTGACTATTAGTAAACTGTAGTTAATAGTTCAAGAACAAACTATCTATATGAGTTTAATACTCTTGGCAGCACCGTTGTTTAGGTACACCAACACGCACACACACATATGTATATACGTACATCCACAAAATACACAGGCAATATACAAAATACATACATATATGCACATACACAAAACATACACACGAAAAAAATAATCCATAGCATTAACTTTATTACGACACAAGAACAGAGTATTAACAGTGTAATATTATCCAGTCTTAACTTATATCCTTCTAACGCGGTCTACTATACGAGTGAGCCTATCGTGGTCAGTCACAAGGAGGAGGCATCACAGGAGAGGTTTTCTTTTAATTAACCGCTGGGCGTCAATACCTCCCCCCCCCAACAGACAATTCGCCGATAAAGCCAGCTGTAAATAATGTTAACATAGTGCAGGCTGTAGCTTTAATACTACTAACCTAGAGAAAAAATGCTCTAGAATTACAGTTTTCTAAAAGGAGAGTCCTAGAAACCGGACCAATTAAGTAGTGCACACATGCTTGAAGCCTAGTTAATAGCACATATGCGGACCATACAACACCCAGACATCATAGGAATTAGCGAATCCTGGGGTCGAGATGATGTGTCGTAAGATGAGTTTTATTTACCAGGTTAAAAAAAAAATCACTCGCCATTTAGGAAGGACAGGGCCACGAGAGGAGGTGCAGGTCAAGGAGCACATAACAGCAGCCACTTATGACGGGTTAAACGAAAGGGGATCATCCGAATCTATTTGGTGTAGTGTGATAGTTCAAAACAAAAGCAAGCTAACAGAAAGCGTGTGTTATAGGGCTGACTCAGCTTTTATTTAAGGTAAGAGATGCCAGAGACCACAGTGTTCTCGGGACTGAGGGAGCCACACGACTCAATAGTGAAGTAGAACCTGTGATAGTTTACCCTTGACGTTAAGATGCCTCAACAGAAAACGTACTATGTTAAGACACCCATTTTCTAAATTATGTTTTTCGGATTACATGAATATTATTCGCCTTACTTATTTCACCTGATAGTTAGACACAAACGCTGCCTGGGGAGGTTAGGTTAGGTTTGGTTGTCAAGTTACCCTGAGTTACCATTTATCATAATTAATTTATTCACATTAGTTTGTTTGGTCATTGTAAATCATAATGGAAAAATATACTAAATTTTTTTCGTATTTATTAAGTTATTATCAATGGTTAAATTATTTGTGACATTATTACGTTGTTAATTGTACGGTATAATAAGAATTAACGACCAATCTTTACTTACCCTTCGCCTCAATATCGAGTAAAATAATGTGGGTTAGTGATGTCTTATACCTATAGAATACAGATAGAGTATAATGTATTAAGTGTGCATTAAAGTAAATTAGTGTATTTTAGTGTATATTACCGTATATTAGTGTATGTTAGCGAATGTTTGTGTATTTTAGTGTAAAGTATATTAGCGTACAGTAAATTAGTGTACAATATATTAGTGTATGTTAATGTATTGTGAATAATTGCGTCGTTATTGTGATTTATGAATACATTTTTGTACATCAACAACTGAGACCTTTCAGCGCAGTACTATAAGGTCAATAAGGCGACAGGAAGAATGTAATATCGCCATTTAACACGTTAATAGTTTATGCAAATATTACAATACAGATTTATAAATGGGATGCAAAATAGGGATAACTTAAGGAAATATTCCAGTCAGTGCCGGTCATTGTCCAGTATTGTGTCTGACAATACTGACAATAATATGAAATGTTATTATAAAAATATATATTATCATTATTACGATTGGCAAGATTCAGTTTTTATAAAAGATAAGTAGAGGAAATATATGCAGCGCTTGAATATGTATGGAACATTAAAAAAAAGTCAATTTATTTTTTTTAGAAGTCTTAATAGGCATCACACATTTATTTATTAAGAACAAAGACTATTATAAGAAAGACTGGAGAGCGTCTACCTTTACTTATAAAAAAAATGTGAGCCACTGAGCTTCGATAAACATCATCTGTTGGCAACGCGGCTAACTAAAAACCCGGGGCGCGTGAGGGTAGCATGTTCATGTTTCCACGGTAACCGGCGGAGTGAGCTGTGTTCCACGTTCTCACATTGGGTGTGATGACGCCCCTCTCCTGGCACACAAACGCCATCTGTTGATCCCACGGCCAACTATATGCTATGTGGCTTACGCGGTTTTCGCCTTGCTTTCCTGTCTTTCTTATTATAGTCTTTGTTAGAACGTTTTAGTGAGGAACTGAGGAGGTGTTTCAGGTCATTCATTTGTGGATTGTGTAGGTGGTGTCGTGTGGTGATGCGGTGCGTGTGAAGTTATTAGCCTGATATTTACCTGAATAACAGCATTTTATTCAGTGTTTAAAGTTCTAAGTACAAAGTGAATATATTAAGAAACTGTTGACCCAGAATCAGTTGAAGTACTATTAAATTTTTTGTTTATTACGAAATTAAAACACTCCGGACGAAGGAGTTACAATTTTGCAAATGGGAGAAACAAACAGTGTATTTGTATGAAATGAAACACAGAATGTCTTTGAAACTGGTTTAAATTGCTTTCTGGTGTTGAAGTGAAACCCTGTCCACTGAAGTATGTGAAAGAGCAACATATTATCGAAGCAGCAGTTTGTGATGATAACGAGTAATATCAAGTCACATCCTCCTCCCTCTTGGTGTGTTGATTCCACGTCTACAGGTGAGTGGAGTAATATACACAGACAGCTTGTAGTCTAGGCAGTTTTGCTGTCCTGGGCAAGTTTCACGAACGATGCTCCTTCTTTTTTTCATGATTCCTTAAATACAGACGTGGCGTAGAATAGCAACGGTACTCTGTTTTAGAAGACCATCGGCTTTTTCTTGACATATTAAGACACCGATGAGATGTGTCAATAATAGACCGCCTCCATCAGCGTGGATAAGAACTGCTTCAGAAATAATGCCTGGCTAACTCATTACACGATAACATAGGGAAGTTATTTAAACCTGATACTAATTGATAATGGTGGTGAGGGCTGGTGGTGAAGGGGTGATGATGAGTGGGTGGTTGAGGTGTGGTGAAGGGTGGAGTGTGGTGGTTGAGGTGTGGTGAAGGGTGGAGTGTGGTGGTTGAGGTGTGGTGAAGGGTGGAGTGTGGTGGTTGAGGTGTGGTGAAGGGTGGAGTGTGGTGGTTGAGGTGTGGTGAAGGGTGGAGTGTGGTGGTTGAGGTGTGGTGAAGGGTGGAGTGTGAGGTGGGTGAAGGGTGGAATGTGGTGGTTGAGGTGTGGTGAAGGGTGGAGTGTGGTGGGTTGTGGTGAAGGTGGTGTGGTGAAGGGTGGAGTGTGGTGGTTGAGGTGTGGTGAAGGGTGGAGGTGGTGGTTGAGGTGTGGTGAAGGGTGGAATGTGGTGGTTGAGGTGTGGTGAAGGGTGGAGTGGTGGTGGTGGAGTGTGTGGTTGAGGTGTGGTGAAGGGTGGAGTGTGGTGGTTGTGGTGTGGGTGAAGGGTGGAGTGTGGTGGTTGAGGTGTGGTGGAATGGGTGAGGTGTGGTGAAGGGTGGAGGTGGTGGTTGAGGTGTGGTGAAGGGTGGAGGTGGTGTTGAGGTGTGGTGAAGGGTGGAGTGGTTGAGGTGTGGTGAAGGGTGGAATGTGGTGGTTGAGGTGTGGTGTGGAGTGGGTGGAGTGGTGGTGAGGTTGTGTGGTGGTGGTGGTGAAGGGTGGAGGTGGTGGTTGAGGTATGTGGGGGTGTGGTAGTAGAGGTGTGGTAGTGAGGTGGTGTTGGGTGTGGTGTAGGGTGGAGTGTGGTAAAGGGTGGAATGGTGGTGAGGTGTGGTAGAGGGTGCAGTGTGGTGGTAGAGGTGTGGTGAAGGGTGGAGTGTGGTGAAGAGTGGAGTGTGGTATGGTGAAGGGTGGAGTGTGGTGGCTGAGGTGTGGTGATGGGTGGAGTGTGGTGGTAGAGGTGTGGTGATGAGTGGAGTGTGGTGGTTGAAGTGTGGTGAAGGGTTGTGGTGAGTGCCACCACCTCCCTCACCGGCGCGGGCAAGAAACAGGGTGGTGATGGGTGGTGTAGGCCAGGACGCTTCAGTCGTGCGGTAACCCCCGGCCCGTACACTCGCGCCCTCTCCTGCCATCGACCACGCCGCCCCGCCGCCCCTCTCACTGCCGCCGTCGCCGTCACTACCTTGGCATCAATATCTCACGTAACCAATAACAACAAATGGGAGATGTTGACAAAAGTTGAAGTTATTTGCAATGTTTAGTTTTTTTTTTTTATCTTTCAAACGACTTGCAAAAATTTTAATTGCTTTCTGTTTAATGCTTGGGTGTTTGAGAAAGCCCCTCCTGTCAGGCAGCGAGTGAGCCACTTAGATGATCATACTGGGGTAATTTACTTGGAGGAGATAAGAAAAAAATGTGCGATGGAAATGCACGTATAGAAATGTAAAATATATGGCGGCTATATTATTACTGAACGATAATTTAATGTGCAATTAATCCAGTAAAAAGAAACAAAAAGTTGGCAGAAGTGTTATGTGTCGTAGAAAAGGATATTATTGTGTATTTATGAACAAGAACTGTGAAGGGGTGATAAGAACGATCAACAGCGACTCATTATTGTTAAGAGAGAGCGTCAGTCCTGGGTGGTGAGGAGGGGGTGGGGAATAAAGCGCCCTACTTATTGTTATTCATCGTCATGAGCCCACGACTCCACCTCAACACTGCCAAAATCTGGAGGGTCTTACTCAATAAGATTTAAACACGAACCACCATGCAAAATTGAAACCAGAAAACGCTTAATCTTATGCTGTGATTGAGTTTGTCATTATTCATATACCTCAAATAGCATCTTTCTCATTCTCAAATTACTCCTTTGTATAGTATCGCTTTTTTGCGGTATATGAACACTGCGGCAATGTTCTCGCTTTTTAGTTCCGTGATTGACACTGTGTTTGTGACTTCATAAGCTATGAGGGAGACACTAGGAGTGGAATATAGTCAAGGCGGATGGGCTGATGCAGGAGACTTGAAGAAAAAATCAGTGCGGGAGCGACAGAAGAGAAGCAGTGTGGCGGCAGTGCGATACACGACCAACAAACGACAAGAAAGGTTCGAGACAGTAAAAGTCGAAGGCAAGTTGGGTAGTGGGAGGCAAACTGTGATAAATATTAAACACGGAGAGCAGCGCTGTGGGGGAGGACTACAGGAACTGCAAGAAGGAATGGCGGAAGGAACCTATAGAGATCTTTATGTTGGTCATACTGTCACTGTGAAGGACGACTACCTAGATTACACACGACCTGCCGGGAACGACCCTGCTCTGTCTTGGTCCACTATAAGCGGAGGGCGACGCCAGCAGTGGATACGAAGAAGACTCCTTGTGGGAGAACGAGAGGGTGATGAAAGAGAAAAAGAGGGACTAAATAATATCACCAGGAACAGTCAAGCTACCAAGAGGGAGGGAACTTTACCCTGTGATATAACTGAATCTCTCTTAGGGGAATCTTTCCTAGATTCTGTTGTGGCAAGTTGGGGACATTGTTGTGGACTAGGCGACAACACTTACTCGGTGCCCCACGACGACTCTTGCAACACAGACGTATTAGAGGCATCACAAAAATTCTTTACCAACGACCAGTCGTCGTTACCGCTGCCAGCCATGACGACCTCTCACGCTGCAAGCCATCCGAGTGGTGGTAAGGGTAGTACGACACAACCATACAGGACAATACCCAGTATGCAGAGGTCATATCCAAGGCCCTCGGGGTCTACCGTCAGTTTGCATTGGTGGTCTCTTGTGATGTTCTGCCTGGTGATGCTCCTGCCCAGCACCATTGGACTCCCTGCTGTCATCCGCATAGGTGAGTGTTCGTCAGTGTGTCAGATTGCCAGCTCGAGGTACCTTAGGTAAAGTTTTTCCTAGTTCTTTCCTCAACATAACAACATTCACAGTTCACGTGAGATGTATATTACGCATTCATCACTTCTACGAAAAAACTCCTTAACTAGCACACAAACTCGGTGGGTGCATCGTCAGCAACCTCGTCCTGAATCTTCTCGTGAATAAGTTATGAGAATTCTTGAATAGTGGCGGGTGAAAATTAGGTTGATCCTAGTCGACTGCCTCTGGTAACTGTGGGTCGCCTCGACAACACCCAATCATCAGCAGAGCAGCTGACACCAGGTCCTCCCGGCGAGTTTGAGTTACAGGAAGCAGCAGGCAGGAGCAGAGGTCTTGAGGTTTATTTTCTTCAAGTTTATTTCGTATCAACCATTCGCGTATTTCGTGTTTCTTAAAGGCCATTATGACCAATGTTTATATTACTGTGGTATAACTAGTGTTCATCTGGCTACACGTCGAGTAGTAGAGAGAGAGAGAGAGAGATTAACTTTTCCCCATGGTTCCTAATTTCGTTTTTCCAAGTTTTTATGTTTCTTTGTATGTCATTATAATTTTTCCCTCTTATTTTCTTTCTTAAAAAAAAAAAAAAAAAAAACAGCGGAATTCCACGGTAAACAAATGAGACATCTTAGTCAGCGTCGAGGGAAGTATCCCCACTTCCTCTTGACCTGAACAAAGACTTCTGTGACTCGTCCTCGACCCCGCTCCTCAGAGTTACTCCAGATGGAAGAAGTAAACACCTCAACATATAGACCAGCTGCAAATTTAATTCCTGAGGTCTGGCGTGTCCCACAAATGCCTTAAAATGTTTGAAAATGTTTGTCTACACCGAACTGTCAATTGGTGTGCTGATATGGCTGCAGGCGCTGACATCCATGTTTAGGACGATTGTTCCAAATATGGGTGGGATTAAGTTATGTAGGTCAAGAGTCCGTGTACAGCCACCAGCAGGCACCAACGTGTGATTCTTCGCAGTTTATATTACAAAAACAAAGAGTTATTCGGGATTATGTTTGATGACTTTGTCGAAGAGTATTCCTGGTCTCTTGGAATATGTGAAGCTATTGTGCATAACGAACAGCCTCGAGGGGGAACTTCTTTATCTGCGATCTCTAACCAGAATTTCCCTGTGCCAATTTTGCTCCCAGAGTTCACTATTATCCATCCTCTTATTAACTGATTAACGAGCGGTGATATCTCGTTGGCTCTCCCTCCGTTGTTTGGAGTAAGCGAGAGACCAGACGCTCGCGCTGACTGATGTATGCTGGCGGGAGCAGCTGGAGGATATTAATTAATGAACTCATTCCATAGCACTGGATCGGAGACCTACACTTGTGGCCGAGAGGCTTCTTCTGGGAATCTCCGTCACGATGAATGTGCATTTATGGCACCCTTGTGGGTTCTGTGCAGACATTCATGAAGTAGGTCGAGTGGACTTCCGCGACTGTCAGTGGTGCGTAATTTTTCCCTGGGGTGCAGCTGTCAAGTGATCATTCCCCGGGTACCCAGACCGTGGAGCATAGCGTCTTACTAGTTGTTCTTGACGCCCGTAATCTAAACTACTTATTAAATGATAAGTTACTCTGGTCACATAATTATACTCTCCGACTTTATCTAAATTAGTCTTTCGAGGAATTCATAGAAAACGAAAACAAGTGATTTTAACGGATAGATTTCAAGCTTCACTGCTGGTTGTGTGAATACTGTACACTAGTCCATCTGGGGGGCAGGTTAGTGTTAGTTAATACACTAGCACACGTACAGGGTTGTGATAATTATTCATTGAGATGATCAAAGTTGGCACTACACTGTTATAGGAATATATGTGTGTGTGTGTGTGTGTGTGTGTGTGTGTGTGTGTGTGGTGTATAAGGATATCTGTAGTGTGTTTGTTGGCCTAAAGATCGATGTTATGTTAATTAAAAAAAAATAATCTTGGTGTTTGTTGGAGAAATAAAAGTATATCATCCAACACCTCAAGTTTTGTACCCAACGACCTTATAGACGTGTATTAAATATTGCTTTTATCGGAGGTAAGTTTTACTTGTGGGTGGTAGGCGACTGGTGGCCACCCTGAGCCCCGTGAACCTGGACCTGTGTTGGCACCTGTTCTCATGTTCGCCTTAGGTTAGGGTTATAAGTTTGTCCACTTTGTTGGTCTGCGTCGCCTCTAAGAATGTTTTTGTAGTGTGTGTGGTGTGCCGCAGCTACCTTCAGGTCGCAGTCCAATCACCATAATTCCCCTGCCAAATTTGCCGTGAGGTAGTTTCGTCAGAGCTTAGCACAGCTTTGCACAGCTTTGCACAGCTTCGTCCCCCGAGCAGCACCACCGCCTGATGCCTGACGCGCCCACTTTTACGCGTAGGTCGTGCAGAGAATTCCATGGATATTACCGCTATGATGGGTCCAATGTGCCCCCAGGTGTATGTCAGGTGTCACCACGAGGTCTTGTTCATCCTTGACACAGCCAGGAATATCTGTTGTATATTTTGCGAGAGCTGTTGCTGAAAACGACAAAATCTATTTATAAATCCGCTGGCAGGAATATTTAGAACCTTTTGCTGGACATAATACGTTTAATTTGGGCAGAGGAGTGTATTAACAGCGGGGCCTAGAGCTCATGGGCGGGGAAGGCCAGAGAAGCACTTTCCTCCCACTTAGGTGTGTGTGTGTGTGTGTGTGTGATGACCCCAGGGGGAGCACTGGCTGGCGTTCTAAGCGAGGTGGAGGAACATTGCTCTCATCCGTTGTCTATACCTGTGCATTTTGAGGATGTGTCTGGATTTCTCTCTCTCTCTCTCTCTCTCTCTCTCTCATCATCGTAGCCAGTAAGATTAGTTTTTGTTTATATTTTACTTGAGATTTTGACTTGAATTTTAAAGTTGATAAATCATCATTCTCTCCCCTTTACTCTTCTCCTGTCACACACACACACGAGTGGGAAATGCTATAGGTTACCTGGTATGTGTAGAGACCGATAGGGGTAGATAGGGATTGTTAGGTGTGTTATTTTTGGGTGTGGGACGCGATAGGTGGGGGTGGGAGAGGGGGGGGGTGTTGTCGTGCCTAACTGATGAGATAATTTGTTTAGAACGATGTACACAGGAGGAGGATACGTTGGAGGAGGGAAGAGAAGAAGGAAGAGGAGGAGGAGGAAAATAGGAAGGAGGAGGAAGATGAGGAGAAGGAAGAAGAGGAGGAGAAGGAAGAGGAGGAGAAGGAGGAGAAAGAGGAGGAGGAGGAGGAAGAATCTGCACAAGAGGAGAGGAAGAGTGTAGCATTATTGATTGTTGACGCCTGTTGGTCGTCATCGAAGAGCTGTGTCACGCCTGTACTGTACCGTGAGTGTTGTACTGTACCGTGTGTGTTGTACTGTACCGTGAGTGTTGTACTGTACCGTGAGTGTTGTACTGTACCGTGAGTGTTGTACTGTACCGTGTGTGTTGTTGTACTGTACCGTGTGTTGTACTGTGTGTGTACTGCGTACCGTGAGTGTTGTACTGTACTGCGTGTGTTGTACTGTACCGTGTGTGTTGTTGTACTGTACCGTGAGTGTTGTACTGTACCGTGTGTGTTGTGTACCGTGTGTGTTGTACTGTACGTGAGTGTTATACTGTACCGTGAGTGTTTTACTGTACCGTGAGTGTTGTACTGTACCGTGTGTGTTGTACTGTACCGTGTGTACTGTACCGTGTTATACTGTGTTGTAAACCGTGGTGTTGTACTGTACCGTGAGTGTTACTGTACCGCAGTGTTGTACTGTACCGTGTGTGTTGTTGTACTGTACCGTGTGTTGTACTACGTGAGTGTTGTACTGTACCGTGTGTGTTGTACTGTACTGCGTGTGTTGTACTGTACCGTGAGTGTTATACTGTACCGTGAGTGTTGTACTGTACCGTGAGTGTTGTACTGTACCGTGAGTGTTGTACTGTACCGTGAGTGTTGTACTGTACCGTGAGTGTTGTACTGTACCGTGAGTGTGAGTGTTGTACTGTACCGTGAGTGTTGTACGCTGAGTACCCGTGAGTGAGTGTTGTACTGTACCGTGAGTGTTGTTGTACCCGTGAGTGTTGCACTGTACCGTGAGTGTTGTACTGTACCGGGAGTGTTGCACTGTACCGTGAGTGTTGTACTGTACCGTGAGTGTTGTACTGTACCGTGAGTGTTGTTGCACTGTACCGTGAGTGTTGTTGTACTGTACCGTGAGTGTTGTATCTCCAGTTTTATACCGCTATGGTTGTACCTACAATATAGTACAGTACCGCAATTATACCACCAGTGTTGCACCAGAACAATACTGTATCCAAGGTGTTCTTCTTTGTACGTCAGGTAACATAAATTACATCAACACTACTGAACTAAAACTGCGGATTTATTTTATTTATATTTTATCTCGTCGGAAGTTGAAGTTCCTCAGGGCGACATTAAATAATATACTTCGTCACCAGTTCAACGGATACCTGTGTTAACAAAATTGTAAATACCTCACCTGAAAACATTTACTCTTCATTATTCAATTTTTTTTTAGTCTTTTGTATTTTGTAAGTTTTAATTAGTTTAAAAGACGCGTTGACAAATACTCGTACAGTAAAATGTGTTTTATTTATTTTTTCTCGTCCCCCTGTGAGGATAGTGGGGTGTTATGCGTCGTGGGATGAGCTGTGAATGTTAGTAGTACCAGGGTTCGAGTTTATGAAGGAGAGATTTTGAATTTATGATTAAGAGGAGATTTCGAATTTATGATTAAGAAGAGATTTTGAATTTATGATTAAGAAGAGATTTTGAATTTATGATCAAGAAGAGATTTTGAATTTATGATTAAGAAGAGATTTTGAATTTATGATAAAGAAGAGATTTTGAATTTATGATTAAGAAGAGATTTTGAATTTATGATTAAGAAGAGATTTTGAATTGATGATCAAGAAGAGATTTTGAATTTATGATCAAGAAGAGATTTTGAATTTATGATCAAGAGATTTTTACCAGGTACGTCTCTCAGTAATTTGGTGATACAGTACAGTACAGTATAAACAGTTTGTACCAGTTGTATTGGTTTTAGTGACTTGTATTCAGTATATACATCAGCTGCAAGGGTTAATTATGTATCATTCATTAAGTCTTTGCTACAGTTCATTACAAAAAAGCTAAAGTGGCATCAGTTAATTATTTTGTTTGTATTGAGTAGCTACAGTACCGGTATGCGTATGCTGGTGTAAGATTACCGGGGAGTCGATGTTCCTTACTGGGGCAGGACTGGCTGGGATCTTGTGAGTGTGTATACCCTATAGCTATCCTTCCTCGCCTTCACATAAACCGCATTTACAGACTTCACCGTGGGAGATAATAGAGATTCTCGTAAGATAAGATAAGATAAGAGGCATCCAGCAGTTGTCTTTAAATTTAAAAAGAAGGTTTATCTACTGCAGTCTGACCTCCACACACTCGTATGTCTTTAGGGGTAATGTTTATCAAGCGGCGGTGGAGGTTGATTGAATTTCTGTATTCATGGGGGTAGTTTTATCGAGTTGTTTTGCATCTAGTGCGGAATGGGGAATGCATTTTGAACGTCCCCACTCCCTCCTCCCTCCCTCTGCCCCCTCTCCCCTTCCCCCTCTCCTCCTCACCCCCTTTCTCACCCTCCCCCCACCCCCCCCACTCCCCGCTGCGAAGGTTTTAAAAGCGGCGTTTGGATATTTTTATGGTTTCGATTTGACAGCCCGGGAAGATTGGGGACCCTCGCTCTACGTCGTTAATTTAACTCGGAGCTACTACCATACACGACCACAACGATACGGTTTACACTGACTCCTCTACTTCTAGGGTATAAAAATCTGTCTGTGTCTGTCTGTCTGTCTGTCTGGTTCTGTCTCTCTGTCTCTCAGTGTTGTGGATTCATTTGTTTTTAGTCTTGTGTTGCATTGTAATTGTGTTGGGTGTTGGGGTGTTGTACTGCTACTACTGGGGGTGGGGTGTCTTGCTGGCCAATATTAATTACGAGGGTGTTACTGTAGGCTGGTGGTCATACGTTCATACACTAATGTTCCTCTTGTGTGTTTAGAGTCATACACATTCATACACTAATGTTCCTCTGTGTGTTTAGAGTCATACACAATCATACACTAATGTTTCTCTGTGTGTTTAGAGTCATACACAATCATACACTAATGTTCCTCTGTGTGTTTAGAGTCATACACAATCATACACTAATGTTCCTCTGTGTGTTTAGAGTCATACACAATCATACACTAATGTTTCTCTGTGTGTTTAGAGTCATACACAATCATACACTAATGTTCCTCTGTGTGTTTAGAGTCATACACATTCATACACCAATGTCCGTAAGTGTGTTTAGAGTCATACACATTCATACACTAATGTTCCTCTGTGTGTTTAGAGTCATACACATTCATACACTAATGTTCCTCTGTGTGTTTAGAGTCATACGCAATCATA